AAAGCGCTGTGAGGCAGGGCCTCTTGGCTTGCCGCGGGTGGGAGGCAGGGGGCCGCAGCTGTCCAGCATGCTGAGAGCCCGTGCCGTCGCGACCTCTGCCCTGGCAGGCACGCGTCCATGTGCACGCGTTGGTGTCTGAGCATCCATCTGTATGGTACGTGCCGCGCGTCTCCGTGCACTTCCCACACGCTGGCTGGAAGGGTGCGGTGCTGGCGATGAGGACGGGCCACCCTGGAGAAGGGGTCTGCCCCGGTGGGCAGAGGGAGCAAGGGGCTGAGCCACATGGTCTGACCAACTGTACCTGCCATGGAGGCATCCCCCCCCGTGCCAGGACATGTGGAGAGATTCCCTTCAATGGCGGGGGGGGCGGCAAGCCTCGTGTCACCTGCTCCGTCCCCATCTTGCCCACAAAGCCAGCGAGGGGAATCCCCACCATTTGCACCAGTTCCTTGGGTTGCTCTTTCTCCGCCCTTTATAGCCGATGGCTGTTGGTGGCTTCCTTTAGAGATGCATTGGATGGGCAGATCTTTATTTCCTGGCGTCCCTTGGTTTAAGCAGAAAAAAAAAAAAAATAATCCCAAAATCCAACCGAGAAAAAAACCAAAACCCAACCCCTCAAAAAAGCACAAAATTCCTATTCTTGCTCTCTCTGTTTGGAACAGCTGGTGTTAACCTGTCTTCTATCTTGTTGTACTAACCTTAGTTCAGATATCTCTGGCTGCAACAGCTCTCCTCTTTTCAACACATGCATGAGCGAGCGCATGGCTGATCTCACCCCCTCCCCTACCTTCTCGAACCCCGACTCCGACATCACCGAGCCTGCTGACGAGCAGCACCAGGGGCAGGAGGAGGAGGAGGAGGAGGAGGAGGCGGAGGACCTGGAGGAAGACATCTTTCCGGAGTGCCCGCTGTGTGATGGCCGGGATCCATTTTACGACCGCTCCCCCCTGTTCAGTTTAGTAGGAAGGTTGGTGAGGTTTTAGGAGAGCATGCCGGGAAGGAACTAGCTCTTTCGCATGAGGGAACTGCTTTCGGACATGACTCCCACCTCTGGGGTGTCCCAGAGGCGCAGGGGGTGGCTGGCTGGCGTGCTGGGATTGTCACCAAGCCTGGGCCACCCAGCGAGGTGCCCACAGAGGTAGGGCTGTGACGAGTACAGCGGTGGTAGGGGATAGTGGGGGAAGGCCGGTGGTATCAGCTCCACTGGAGACCCTTTAGGCAGGTCCCTCTTTGGGATGGCCCCCAAGAAGGGGAGCTCTACCACATCTCCAGCACGGAAGAAGCCGCACTGGGGGTCTTAGTCCCGGGCATTACTGTCCCAGGGAGGGCCACCTCCCACCTGACTCGGGGTGACCCTGCAGTGCTACTCGCTGGGGACATGCAGGCAGTTCAAAGCTGCGCATGCCTCTGGCACCGGCTTGGCCGTCCCGGCTGCATTGGTCAGTGTGAGCCCCCCTGGACGTGGAGGCTTGGATGTCCCCAGGCAGTGGGGGGGACGAAGCTGAGGGGAGCGAGTCAGGTGCAGGAGGGAGAGGAAGGCTCTGCGAAAAGTAGTATTTTTCCTTTCTGCCTGTGCCGGGTGCCAAGCTTGGGGCCATCCCTGCTGGCTTGGCACAGGAGATGTTCAAGGGCATCACAGGAACCCAGGTACAGGCTCCAACTCCTCCTTGGCTCCAGCTGAGGACAAGAGCTTTGATTTCTCATACCTGTTGGCCAGGAGAACCCCCTGGGGTCCATCAGTCTTGGCCTGGAGAAACCCGCCAGCTGCTGCAAAACTGGCTGTGCCACCAAACCTGGTCACAATCTGCCTATCCCCACAATGGGATGCAGTGCTGCCAGCTCTGCTCTGGGATTTTCCCAAGGGAATGTGTGCCTGGAGCTGGTCCCGCAGCCTCTACCCCAGGCAGGAGCCGGAGGGGCTCACGACGGTGAAGCTCCCCCCGCTGGGGCTGCCCCGATGGTTGGAGCTGGAGCTCTTCCTCGGTGTGCTAAAGCCAGGCAGGGTGCGGGCAGCAAGGTGGGGAGAAGGGGGACCAGCACAGGCAGAGAGGGCGGAGGTGGGATAAGAGTCCTGCAGCCTCAGACCGAAAGAGCTGGGCTCTTCCCTCCCCGTTTTTTTTTTTTCCTTTTTTCCTTATTTAAAACAACAACAACAACAACAAAACATCAAAAAAAATCACCCCAAAACTCTTGGGGGCACCTCAAAAAAACAAACAAGGCCCTGCGGCAGCGGCCCCGCTCCATGCCGGGGGCAAATTCCCCGGAGCTCGGCGCTTTCTGACTTCTTTTGAGTCTGCCCTGGGTTTGGCTCCTCGCGCAGCAGCTCTGCTGGCCACATTTCTTGTGAAGTGTGCTTGGATTGGTTTATGATTGGATCCTTGTCTTTGATTTTTTTTCCTTCCTTTCTTTTTTTTTTTCTTTTAGTTTTTTTTGGTTGATTTTTTTTTTTAGTTTTTGGGGTTTTGGTTTTTTTTTTAGCTGCTGGCTCTACCTCTCCAAAGCTTTAGCGAAAAATTGGGGTTCTTTCACTTTCATCTTCCTTTGGAAAGGCTTTTCTTTGGTCTGAGCATGCCATCTTTGCACCTCACCAATCTTGTGGTTAGTGTCCCTGCCCTCCTTCCTCTAGTGACACACTTGTCCCCCTCCTCCCCGCCCGCCCCCCATCCCTCCCCCTCTTTCCTCTCCTCTCCACCCTCCTTGGCTTCAACACCTGCGATTTCAAGCAGACGGGTGCACCTTGGTCCCCGTGCTTTTGAGATCTCCCTGTGGTCACAGGGCTCTGTCCCCGGGCAAACGGGTCCTGCCAGCAAGCCCTGGCGTGGTCCAGCTGCTTGTCCCTGGTGGCCTCCAAGAAGAGATGGGGTGACATGGGCCCAGCAGGAGATGGTGATGGACCTTTGCTTCCACAACTTTGGTCCTTGGAGATGCTTTGGGTGGAAAAAGCCTCAAGCAGTGGTTGAAGGTCAATGGGGGGTCACCAGATCAGGAGGAACCTCCAGACTTCGGAGCGTGGGCTGCAAGTGTGGGGCTGGGGCTTTCTGCAAGAGCCCCCTGGCCACTTTTGGGTGCCACTTGATGTCTGCAAAGATGCTTGTGAGGTTGGGACATTGTGAGCAGCACTGCCAGCCGCCTTGAGATGCAACCCTCATGGGAGCCTCCCAAAGCAGAAGTGTCCTGGCCGGTCCCAGTACCATCCTGCCCCACGACACCTGAAGATACTGCACATCAAGAGGGCGATGGGTGCCCTGGGGAGGGGTGCTGGGCACCCACTCTTGCTGGGAGTGGTGCCACCCTGCAGGCAAGGGCGATTTACACTGCTGGGCAGGGAGCTTGGCACCAAAGGCTGTGGGGGTAACTCGTCACCACTGAGGGCCCAGCGTGCTGCCATCACCAGAGTGCCAGGAGGACCATTGAACAGCGAGCCAGCTGGCAGCGAGGTTGAGGAAGGCAGCAAGAGGAGGCAAAGCACTCGAGAAACAGGGAGCTGTGGCCTGGCTGGAGGTGCCAGCAGAGTGAACCCTGGCGCATGGCACCTTGTCGAGGTGGTATCAGCGACCTGGATGTGATGGAGGATGGCGGGGAAGCTCAGACCTGCTCCACAGGGAGAGCACAGCCCCTTCCTCGCCCACAGGGAGAAGCCAGCCATGCCGTCCCTGGGATGTGCTGGTAGGCAGCTCCAGACCCCAGCCACGCTGTGCAGCCGCACTCCCAGCTGGGCAAAGGCCATCTGCAGCCACCAGAGGTGGCCAGGACACCCATCCCCCAGCAGGTTCATCTCTGGAGGCTTCAGGACCTCCTCCTCTCCCCTCCTTCGCTCCAGCTGGCCTCTACCTCCCTTGTCACCCTCCCCTCCCCCCTGCCTTGCTCCTGTCCCCCACCCCATGGTGACTCCACAGCTGTCCCCCCCCAATCATGTCGCAGCACTTCC